GGTTGTCCCATGGGTCACCACTTCCCCATCCATCAGGCCCACCATGGTTGTCCCATGGGTCACCACTTCCCCATCCATCAGGCCCACCATGGTTGTCCCATGGGTCACCACTTCCCCATCCATCAGGCCCACCATGGTTGTCCCATGGGTCACCACTTCCCCATCCACCTCCTCCAGAATTCCAGTCAGGACCTCCGCGGCCACCTCCGCCCATACCTTCAAAACGACTCCTTGGCTCTTGACATGCAATTTCTGTCTTACTCAAGGCCTTCTTGACGACTATGTGCTTCCCCTGAATTAGGTGCGTTCTCTGAAGACATATTTTGTCAACAGGATCATAATCATCGAACTCAACGAAACCAAAACTTCTCTTCTTGCCCGTCGCTTTATCGACGACAATAGCACAGGATACAATGTTGCCAAAGGTTTGGAAGTATTCCGACAGATGTTCTTCCTCTATACCTCCCTTCAAACCACTAACAAATAGTTTCTTAACAGTTGCACCGGCTTCTGGTAGACCGATTTCCTGTCGGGGTACAGCTCTCTTGGGTTCCACAATTCTTCCATCTACTCTGTGCGGTCGGGAATTCTGGGCGTCGTCGACCATGTGTGCACGGGCATACGTAACAAAGCCAAACCCCCGAGACTTTTTTGTTTGGGGGTCTTTCATTACAACAACATCGACAATTTCACCCCATTGTTCGAAATGTTTTTTCAGAGATTCATCAGTTGTTTTATAATAAATTCCACCAATAAAAAGTTTCCGCGTATACTCAGGTTCCATTTTGCCTCTTTCATCGTGCTTTACTTTCACCATTTTTCTTTCTTCATCGTGTTCAACTTTTATCATTTTGTGTTCCATTTTTACCATTTCCCCAATAATAACCAAATACTTTGTCTAATCAACACACAACACGCTGGCCACTAAAATGGCAAGCGAGTCATGCAAAATGGGCGTACGTAGTGCAGCCAAATATGCCACACTGAAATTCCCTATATTCGATTCACATTTCCCATAAGTACGGGTGCAATTGATTATAGGTGTACTTCACACGTACGTAGTTATATTTTACCAGAACCGTACTTAAGACTTTTATTGCAAAAGTGCAAATAATAAAGATACACAATTAATATGTCCGATAATTATTGATCTGCCATACTTATCGTATAACTGTTGTGGGTTAGAGAGTTTAGAGGTTATGTTTTATTGTATTTTTACTTTGCATAGATCCTTTACAGGCCCAAGCGAAGAATGCAGAACATGCCATAGCACAAATACAATACCTGTTCCAAATACAAATATTAATTTACATAGTTGTGACTGATATATACATTCAATAATAATAAGGTACAGTTTATACCACTGACCCACTGCATTTTGAATTCCATGTGTTTTGACAATAATAATTCATGATTTACATAATAAGATACTTAAGAAATATAACAAGAACTTCCACAAACACTCATTTTATTATTAATAGCACTTAATATTGTATCTGTAAAATTTAAATGGGCTTTATCAGGTGAAAGGTGTTTCCTAACACCAAATTGTTCACATGCAAGGACACTGAGTTTAAAAAAGTTACTTACTCTGTTGTACATGACATTATAAAATATTTTAGAGAAAGCTGTTAGATATGAAACTTTTGAATATGTAAGTCATTATGGAAAAACTCCTACTGCCATTCATTGATTCCAAAGATAACTTGCTTCATAATTTTTAAGACAATATTTAGGGATGTGCTGAATTTTGAATCTACATCGTGACTATTTAATAATGTGTTCCAGTTTACATTACTTAGATCTGATATAAATTCTTTAATAGTCTTTTCATTTATAAGTCTGATTCATTTCCTGTAATTGTGATAATTGGAGATCACTCCTTCTTTTTCCATGTTCGACCATATTTTGTTTCTTGTATGTAATAGTACATGAAAACCATGTTGTGGCTGATGAAATTAAGGATAGATTATGATCAAATCCAGGTATGTTACAAGCATACTATGAATGATTATGTAAATCTAAAAATAATATTTTTAATTAAAAACACCCCAAATAAAAATTTGCTAGAGCAGACTTCTTTGTACTACAGTGTGGGGAAAAATGAAATGTTGCATGAAAAGCCATCATATGTCCAAGTATTAACAGGCATTGTTTTATGATGCATATGCAATGAGGGCACAAAATGGAGAAGACAAAATTACTGCAAACCAGTTATGCTGCCCTGATATATGTTCATGAGCCAAATGCCTTGTGTAGGTGTGTCTTTTGCCACCACAATACCATTTGAATAAATCTGACAGGTGAGTATTTATTAGTCGTGCATTATATTTACTAAAACTGATTGCAATATACTCATGCACATTGTGCATAATTTTAGAAAGAAGTTTGTTATAGAAATTGAGGTGGAATAGTGGATGACTTTATTACCGATTAAGTTACCGTACCGCCCGTTGTAATACCTATTTCTGACGGATAGATGGGAGGTCAGTAAGCGCGGCACTACGTTGCATGTCTGTGTCCGTGACGCATGAGGATTGAAACGATGTGATTGGTTGGCATATGATGCATCCAAATTTCAAGTAGGTGGTGTTCGGACTCTTATTTTATTTCTGTTGACGTTTGTTTGCCTCAAGCACATAAAATATGAGATTCAGTGCAATGAAGTTCGCATATTCATAGAAGTGTGATTTAAACCATATATTTTGTTATGTAGTGTTTTTTTATCAAGTTTGTTTTGGTGCTCTTCAGTTGTTTGCTAGCCATTTTAAGGCGGGCATTTTAGGAAAGTGCTGTTCACAACATTAAGAATTCTTAGTATAGTTGGTTGAAGAAAAAAGATTTGCTGCTGATATTTGTATTGATTTTGAAATAATGCCTTCCATTATGAAGACAGGAAGATGCGACGTTATTCTCCGCCCTGTTATTTAAATAAGACTAAGGTATGTTCATGTTAATCCTTCATATTTTCAACATGTCTGATACTGTTGTTCCTACGTCAATCGCTTTGATTCGTATGTTTATAAATTGTCACTTATTCAGCGATAGTCTGTTTCTATACGCCACTACACGTATGAATGTATTAGATAATATTATTAACCTTAATTTGTTTCTCACGAATTTCTGCGTTTTGATTTTGTTTGTCTAGTCGTGTTTACACAAAGGGTATCGGCTATCAAATTTATCATTTTTGTTGCGTTTAACCTCACTTTTGTCTGCCATTGCATATCTCATTATCATGTTCTGCTACTGGTTTAACCTATATTTTATATAAATTCTAATTTCATGTCTTTAATAGAAATTAAAGACCGTGTTTACAAGGGCCTGCGTATCATTTTTAATACAGTACATTATTTTATAAAAATGCCTGTAAATTATTTATTTATTATTTATTGGTAAAATTACGCGTAGGAGAAATACGGATAATCTCTTCCAGACACCAATAGGATGACGTTTCGAGTTATCTACTTAAACGTGTACCGCTTATTTAGTGGATGACCGTAAAACGTAGAAACATTGGTTTCCATCCATAACTGCATGAACCATACTACTTCAGGAGCTGAGCTGATCCAAAATTGGAGTTTGGATGTTTATCACCGTGATCCCAGCCGTCCATCACTGGACCCTACCCCGAGCAACATAAATTTATTCCACCCCTTCCTACTCTATTTCTGTAAGACCCACTTTAATATTATCCTCCTATCTAAGCATAGGCCTGTCAAGTGGTTTATGCTATTAAGGCTTCCCGATTACAATTATGTTTGCATTTCTCATATGCCATATGCGTGTCTCATGTTAAGTCCATCCCCCTCGATTTGACCACACTAAAATCTAATTTATGGTTTAATTTAACAGCTGTCAGCTACTTAGATTATATATCGTCGAATGTCTGGATGACCAGTGAATTATAAATTGGAAAGGATTAGGAAGGAAGCGGTCATGGCCTAATTTAAAGTAATATACTGGCATTTGGTTGGTGTGGGGACTGAATAAAACCACGAAACCCCTCGGTGAAGATGCAGTATTCGGGTTAAGATTCTAACGTCACGGTCGAGCGGTACTTCGTACTCGGAATGTCCCGGGTTCAAATTTCGGACCGTGGAATTACTAGGTACCTAGAATTAAATTTGGCCACGACCTCTTTCTTACACATCCTTTATAATTAAGTATTGATCAGTCATCGAATCGTGCAGCTTCAAAGGCTTATGGTTTCAGCTATTGACAAGGAATTAAACTATAAATAAAGAAAAGTTAAATTAATAATTAATTTCTTCGGCGTTTTGGATATATTCAAATATTTATGCAGGCGTATTTGACGGTAGAGCAATTTGAATGTTTGTTTCTTCTGAGGTGTGTACATTTTGTATGACTAGTCTGTACAATCCGTAACATGTCAGGTCTCGCACCACGTGTCTCTTGTTTATTACGTCAGGGGTTGTACAGGTGCGTGTGTGTGTGCCCGTGCGTGCGCTGTACTAAAATCATAAGAGTACTATTCAAAGCAATGCGAACAGAACTTCGACGTGGGCAAGCGATGAGAGAAGACGTCAAACAAGTCGGTGGTCTAGGAATTCCTGCGCCAAGCTCTTGATGTAAGGATATGTCTTTTGTTAGGGTTGAAACCTTATTTTGTTAAGACTTCTGTCTGTTGAAATTTTACATTAAATTTATCTGCGTACAAAATCAGTACTTAATCAATGCAACGTTTATTATAAAATTAAAATATTTTAAATGTAGTAGACATTTAATAACGCTGTAATTAAGGACGTACCATTTTAAAGTATTTGTTAAAATATATCGTTTTATAGAATCTCTTCCAATATTCCTGTTTAAATTTAATTTGTTGTAGAAAATATTTATTTCGGTTATCTTTGTATGGCATTAGTAATTTATATTTTTAATGGGAGACCAATAGTCCGCGGTCTGTCGTGGTCATTCTACAGTGAACGTATTGTCTTAATTGAATCTGTTCGCTCTTTTTCTTTCGTTATGTCGGACATTGCTGTGCGTCAATGTGACACACGATGGTTACGGTAGACAACAATGAGGTCTCGAAATATTTCGTGAAGTTTAATGCATAGGTCTATCACTTTATTTAAAGAGTTTGTTATAGTTTTTTTACATGCATTGTTATGCATTTTGGAGGTGGGGTTATAAATCAAGGATTTTAAAGTAAAGCGTTTGAATTTAGTGGAGTTCAAAATAGAATTTTTCAAATTTGTAATTTGTCTTCAGTTGTTACACAACTGATATTTTCTTTCCCATTTAAGAAGTGCTATTTTTTCCCTATTTGACTCTGCCATGTCCACCTTTGCTTGCAGCTGTGCGTACTTTGTTGTTGTTGTTAGCAAATCTAGGAGGACGAGGTGGATGAGTCATGTAGCGAGCAGTTGGGAAGTTGGTCGCTTGTCCATCGCTTTCTTTGCATCGATTCTTACGAGACTGTAAAAAAAAAAAATACATTACAATTAGTTGCTTTTTAATCATATAAAGCCCAGTGGTAACTATGTGTACCACCTGCGTTACCGGACAGTAACTCTTTTTAACGCGTCTTAAGTATTTTATAGCTCTCAGTTTGACATTCGAGAATCTCACATGATGAATTGCCTGTTCTGATTAATGCTGTGTCTCTATTAAATGATTAACTGGATAATTCATTTGTTCCAGAGACGGTGTTCTAGCAGTGTACCGGACCTCCGATTCGGCAGAGGAATGCGCGCACTCCACCTGGGAACATGGATACATAAAAAGTAATACAAGACCAGTACACAGTGATAATAGCAGATAAGATAGAATGGAATAGACCGCATAGTCAGGATGTATGCACTAGGGTGCTTAGCTTAGTCTACGCACTAGGGTGCTGAAATTAGTCTACGCACTAGGGTGCTGAAGTAAGTCTACGCACTAGGATGCTGAACTTAGTCTAAGCACTAGGGTGCTGAACTTAGTCTACGCACTATGGTGCTGAACTTAGTCTACGCACTATAATGCTGAACTTAGTCTACGCACTATGGTGCTGAACTTAGTCTACGCACTATAATGCTGAACTTAGTCTACGCACTATGGTGCTGAACTTAGTCTACGCACTATAATGCTGAACTTAGTCTACGCACTATGGTGCTGAACTTAGTCTACGCACTATAATGCTGAACTTAGTCTAAGCACTAGGGTACTGAACTTAGTCTACGCACTATGGTGCTGAACTTAGTCTACGCACTATAATGCTGAACTTAGTCTAAGCACTAGGGTACTGAACTTAGTCTACGCACTATGGTGCTGAACTTAGTCTACGCACTATAATGCTGAACTTAGTCTAAGCACTAGGGTACTGAACTTAGTCTACGCACTATGGTGCTGAACTTAGTCTACGCACTATGGTGCTGAACTTAGTCTACGCACTATGGTGCTGAACTTAGTCTACGCACTATGGTGCTGAACTTAGTCTACGCACTATGGTGCTGAACTTAGTCTACGCACTATGGTGCTGAACTTAGTCTACGCACTATGGTGCTGAACTTAGTCTACGCACTATAATGCTGAACTTAGTCTACGCACTATGGTGCTGAACTTAGTCTACGCACTAGGGTGCTGAAGTAAGTCTACGCACTAGGATGCTGAACTTAGTCTAAGCACTAGGGTGCTGAAATTAGTCTACGCACTATGGTGCTGAAATTAGTCTACGCACTATGGTGCTGAAATTAGTCTACGCACTAGGGTGCTGAAATTAGTCTACACAATAGTTTGCTGAAGCTAGTCTACGCACTAGAGTGCCAAAGCCTAGTTTGTGCACTTGTGTGCCGAAGTTTAGTCTTCCAACTTTTACAAAATGTGTCTTCATAAGTGTGATATGAAGCTCAGGTTTGGAATTGAGTTTTATGATGTAATTTCCTACCAATAAAATTCAGGTGTGTATTCTTCAACTAAAATTACCCATGATGTTAAGTTCCCATAGTTCGTATATTACAAACAAAGTTGTTTTAGAGGTTTTGATGTTTCATATGAATTTGGCATTGCCATCATAATTTATTCCTATTTAATGACTACTACCAATTCACGTGGAAGATGTCGTAATTGCTGGATAAAGATTTGTCTGATATTTTATGTAAAAAAATTGAGTTTTATTTTTACAAATATCTGTTCAAACACTGCATTGTGAGAAATACACTAAAGAACAATTAGTGATTTGAACACGTTTCTTGTCTTGTGGTAAACACTGACTGGTCATGGCTCATAAAGTAAGTTGTTGCGAACAATCTCTTAATTGGCGATTTTTACTGTGACAGAATTATTTGTACGTACATAACATCTAAAATTTATAATTGTTCTACAGAAATGAGTACTTTGAATTAATCCACAGTAAAATTAACAGAAATTTGCACTGTTGTAAGCACGTTGGTACTTGTGGAATAAAATGGCCAGATGACCAGTGACAATTGAACAGTTGACTGCTGCCAGTTGATTTGCAGGCGTGCTGTTCGGACGCGTCAGGGGAAGGGAATTGGCCAGCCTTCGTGGGACCGTCGGCCTCCGCGTCTCTCTCGCGACAGCGCAGGACTTCAGGGGACCTCATCGAATAGTAGGATTGCGACAAGTTTTATGGGGGTACCACAGAACCAGG